GCATAATTCTTACCTCCAATTGATTTGGGGAATGGAACTCCCCGACTCTTGTAGAATTGCTGCTGCCTCCGAAGTTCATCTTTAAAAACAAACATACAACAAAAATTAGTTTCAAATTTTATTAAGAGCATCATATTTTTTATTAATTATCACTAATCTAATATTGGGTTGTGTCTCAATAAGAGTTCACAATGTGTTTTTAAAACTAAAGTACAAGAGGAAGCCCTAGGGTAGCATTATAACAGACATTTGTATTCAGACATATCTAAACTGCCAGCTGTATATAACTGCTTTCTCAGATCAATGGTTAAAAATAGCTTCAAGAGAATGAAGCCTGTAATAAGAACCATCGTTCTTCAAGCCATGTAAACTAACAGTACAGAATCACAAAGAATTGTACCAGATAACTTGAGGACTTAACAGCAGCAAAAACTAAAATGGATAGCACATTTTTGTCTGAATTTCTGGTATGAGGAATTATATTCAAACTGTTGTCCTCATCTTTGTTGTTGTTATCACAATGTTTGTTCAGGAATATGGTTACTTCTTATAAGAACTAAACCATATCCCTAGACATGAGCAGAGGAGCAAGAATAATTTACTCCCATAGATTAAATAAAGGGTTCAGTTCAGAATTCCCTGTAGGTTACCCAGATTGATATACACCTGAAGAAGGGCAGAGGGCATCATGACCGAAACGTTGTGATAACAACAAAAATGAGGACAATAGTCTGAATATAGTGTAAATAACATATAGCACATGTAACTCAAAAACAAAATAATGATATAGTAAAGATGTTGCTGTTTCATACTACTTCAAGCAAAAGGTTAGGAAGGAAACATCCTATCAATACTGGAAAGAGCTATAACAGCTACTGGAAAATTTCCTGAAAAATTATTTTAATAGAAAGATTTTATAAATTTAGTACTGGTTGCTCAATCAATGAATGGTGAATGTTTAAATATAAGGAAACAACTAATATTACTATTTATGGCTTGATTCTATTTTGGTTGGTTGATTTGTTTAATGGCATATCAACTCCTTATGGGTCATTTAATGCTGAAATTTAATTTTCTTGGGAGCTTTGAAGTAATGAAAATATGTTATTTTGCTTTCACAACTGAATCCATGGTAGATGATACTCAGCTTTTGTTCATATATATATATATATATATATATATATATATATATATATATATGTGTGTGTATGTGTGTGGACATAGTTATTAGAGATGGTGATATGTGTGTTTTATGTTGTGGTTTTGTTGAAGTTATATTTTGGAATATGGTTTGATTTCTTTAAGAAATTTTAGGATATTATATGCATGTCATGAAAGAGTTCTTACATGTTCATTGTTTGATTTTTAGTGGCATATCAACATCTATGGGTTATTCTTGTAACCTAGGGAAGGTTACTGAATAGAATAATCCCACGAAGGTTGGGAATGAACGATAATACTTAGGACACGAACAACACATATAAGATTCACCAGCGGTGTGTAGAAGTAAAAGTCAACTGCTAGAAGTGAATCGTGAATTCCACAATGAATCTCCAACTGCAGACCAACATACAGTATTTACTAATGTATTTATGTGAATGGGGACATACCCATTATCATCCGTAGGTATGCTACAATAGTTATTTAATCCCAAAATCTAAATATTATGAACACAATTTTATGGCTTCAATTAAATATATTTTGAACACAATTGTATGCCTTCAACTACAGATAAAATGTACCGTTGATCATTTTTATATAAAAAAAAGTATTGCTGGTATTTTTACTATAAAAATTTATTTTTATACTTTTATAGTCTTTTCTTTGTATTTAGGGGTTCACTATTTGCTGGGACCCTAACAGGTGCTACCACCCCAGATCAAGATGGACCTGGGAACAACAACAATTACGAGGTGGTTCCACAACAACAAAAAAAATTTAAAAAAACAAATTGCAAAGATTTTAAATGTAAATGAGGAACAAACTTATTGCCTTTTCTTCAGAATAGACTAAAATGTAAATCACAAGCATACAGCACATGTTTAGTTAGTGGAAGATCATATAGCTTCATCCTTATCCTCATTATCTTCCTTTCCTACTACCTCCTCTTTCATTCATATCACATGCCTCATTCATTATTACCATTTTAACAGTAACACTCTACCTTGAGTGGCTCTTGAGACTTGGATTTGGGGAATTGTAAATCATAGGCATAGTATATGTAAAAATAAGAGTGAAATAAAGTGATATTTCTTAAAATAAAAAATGTATTTTTATTGCAATAAAATTAATTTAAAATGTATTATGAAGAATGCCAGAAAATTTATAATAGAACTAGTTATATCTTGTTCAAGCAAACCCTGGAAGATTGGAGAATGCAGTTTCTCCATGAGGGCATATGTATATGTGGTTTAACAAATCCTGTTCTAGTCTGTTGCATTTACTTTTGCTCTAATTCCCTTAGGAATGGCCTAAATTCCTCCCTTCTCTCCCAACTATGGGTTAAGTAGTAGACTGGACTCTCTAGTCTTGAATTGTAGTCAAAGAGAAAGACAACATGGAATTCCAAAACATGGGGAAAAAAACACCAGGAAACCACATCACTATCTTTCTCAAGAGGTCACTCATTTGAAAATGTTTTGTTATATATATATATATATATATATATATATATATATATGTATGTTTGTTTTTCATCTTGCAAGGTGACATGCTTCCCTCCTCCCGAGCAGAAAAGTTAGCACAGGAGTTGCTTTAGACACCAACAACCCATCCATGTGGCAGGTTGTACTGGGTTACAGGTTACCAGTAGCAAGCCTAAACCTGGTCTGGCCAAAATCTTATGTTCATGTGTATTAAATAATTTTTATATAATATTTTTTTTTAATTATGGACAGGAATTTGTGTAAAGAAATTTTTTAAAGTAAATTGTTAATATAGTGAAGGATTCTAACTATTTAAATTTTACCGGATATTAGACATATCTGGCTTCTCTAAATATTTGTTTAGGATTTTGGTTACATTTATAGTATAATATTTAAAATCATGATTGGTTTGATGTAAATAGGAAATAACCAGGATAGCATACCAAAAGGCAATTAAATTGAATGAAACTGTAAAATAAGTGGGAGGTTAATTTTTTTTTTCATGATCATATTCTCCAAATTTTTAGATAGCATCTCAATTTGTGTACATACAAGGGGGTGCTGAAAAAATGGATTAAAAAAAAATTCTGAGGTTTGGTCATGTGGTTAGATTTTGGGAAATGAATTAAAGCGAGATCTTTTCAGTATCCCCCTTTGTATAGGGGTGTGTGTGTGTGTTCTTTTTTTTTTACAGTGAGGTTTACCCCGTACAGGAGCCAATCAAGGTAGAGTGTTACAGTGTAAGAGGCACAGTTTATGCACATATGTGGCGAAGATAATGGTTGATCCAAGACTTCAACACGTAGTGATCAGGGAAAACATCTTGTTAGGAGTCGGTTCCACAGAGCACTGGTTTGCAGGAAGCTACTTGAGTAGAACTTACTTTTATTGGCATGTACATAGGCTTTATATTAATAAAGGCAGCTACCCTTTCATTAGTTTTTAATCATTTACATTCAAACTATTGTCCTGATCATTGTTGTTGATATCACAACATTTTGGCCGTTATGCTCTCCAGCTTTCATCAGGTGCCTGTCAATTCATGCAATCTTCAGGGAATTTTTAACTGAACCCTTTATTCAATCTACAAGGTTAGATTGCTCTCATTCCGCTGTCCATGTCTAGGGATAACTCAGTTTGTTCTTATTTAGTACTGCTCAGTTAGTGCTTACCTTATTTCCACTACCTCCTGGACCAGGGATTGAACTCACTATGTCACTAAATTCACAAATCAACACTTTAATCCACTAGGCTATTGTTTCATGAGCAATAACCGGGCAGTACTAAATAAGAACTAAACAATATATTCCTAGACATGGACAGTGGAATGAAAACAATCTTAATCAACTTACATTAAATAAAGGGTTCAGTTTAAAATTTCCTGAAGGTTACCTGGACTGACAAACATCTGTAGGAGGTTTAAAGGCACAATGAATGAAACATTGTGATAACAACAACAAAGATGAGGACAATAGTCCGAATGTAAATAATAACTCCTTAATCCCAGAAATCCAAGTAGAAATTAGAATTTAATTGTTAGTTTTATCCTCTCAACAGGAAAGATTTCAAATAAACTATGTAAAAAAACTGTTTATCTAACATCACCAAAATAACATGTACATATTTATTAATAAAAACAATACTGTTTACAACAATGGACACACACACACCTTTCTGAACAATTTTGAGATTGAACTATCATTTTTTACTTTGCAATCTGGTAAAACTTCATTATAAAATTTGGAATTCTACCAAAATGAATGCAAACAGATGTACGTGTAAAAATTTCAGACAGAGTATAACTTTAAAAGTAGAATATAAATAAAGGCAAATGGAAAACTTAACTGATGACAAAATACCTCAGCTAAGTTTTCCTTTTGTCAAATGGATATATATTTTTTCATTATAAACATACATTTCTCAGACAGATCACAAGGTGTTGGTGTGTCAAATTGTGATATCTCCTCCTAGTTCTTTAGACTTTAATGCCCCCTCCCCCGAAGTATTTACAATTGAATATTGTTTATAAAACAGCCAACCTTACTCTTTCATTGATATAAATAAAATGTTCCATGTAACTGTGTGCATACAACAAGTAGTGTTGATGGCTTTAACAGGAGGCACAGCTGTGGCAGTGAAATACTGTTTTATGACTGCTGAGGTCAGGAAATTGTGTCTATCATCTTGTGAGAGTTTTAAACAAAGCGAGTCTCAAGAGATACTTAAGGCTTTAAAGATAGAGGCTTAGGATTTTAGAAGTAGGATTCATATTTGGAAAAGGAAATAACAACAAATGAATCCAGAAAAAGAAAAGTGAGTGAGAATGTGTGTGTGTGTGTGTGTGGAGTGAAGAGGCTAGAAAGAAAGAGAGAGGAAAAATGACAGAAAGAGAGGGGAAATGACAGAAAGAGAGGGGAATGGAGAGAGAGGAAAAATGACAGAAAGAGAGGGGAATGGAGAGAGAGGAAAAATGACAGAAAGAGAGGGGAATGGAGAGAGAGGAAAAATGACAGAAAGAGAGGGGAATGGAGAGAGAGGGAAAATGACAAAGAGAGGGGAATGGAGAGAGAGGAAAATGACAAAAGAGAGGGGGAAGAGAGGAAAAATGGAGAATGGAGAGGAAAAAATGACAAAAGAGAGGGGAATGGAGAGAGAGATGGAGAGGGGAATGGAGAGAGAGGAAAAATGACAGAAAGAGAGGGAATGGAGAAGAGAGAGAGAGAATGGAGAGAGAGAGAATGGAAGAGAGGAAAAATGACAGAAAGAGAGGGGAATGGAGAGAGAGGAAAATGACAGAAAGAGAGGGGAATGGAGAGAGAGGAAAAATGACAGAAAGAGAGGGGAATGGAGAGAGAGGAAAAATGACAGAAAGAGAGGGGAATGGAGAGAAAGAGAAAAAGGACACAAAAGAAGAAGATTGAAAAAATAGACTTAATGAGTAAAAGTAGAAGTATAGAAAAAAAAAAGAGACATTTGAAATAAGTAAAACAGTTATAGAAAATAAACACATGTCTGAAAATAACATTATTTAAGTTTGCAAGAGTCATAGAGAGACTTTATAACAGAAGACAAATGCAGATTGAAACAAAAACTAATAGTTGAATTAACATTTATTTTACTCAAATCCTTACTTTCTTGTAACTCGGGCACCAGCTTGTAAACAATGTCCTGCATAGTCCGGTCATGGCTGTAAAAGACAAAATCAGAAAGTAGATTTATTTCAGTTGTCAACAAAAAAAGTTACATTCGTGGTAAGTTTTTTTTTTTATATAAAAATCAATATGTGACCACTACTATGTCAAAGTAAAAGCACTAACAGAAAAAAAAAATCCATATAACCAAAGGTAAGGGAAACCAAACAGTAAATAATAAAAGTTTAACTCACCTTATGTAGTTCAGCGGGTGACTCTGATGAATCACGATGCTACAGGTAGGGCAAGTGTTGTTCTCGTCCAGATAACGAACCAAGCAACTTTTACAGACTGTAATTAAAACAGATTAATAAAAAGTTTAAAAGAAACAAGTTTGGCCAGTAAGCTTAATTACAAAAATAGTTTTTACATCTCAGGTCAGATCCTGTTAATATAAAGTCAATTAAAATGGAATTCAACCCGTCAGAGAATGATATTCATCTATTAAACATGTTTAAGCCATAAAAGTTTAAATAAGGAGTCAACATATTTTGGTCAAGAGACCCCATTGAATATACTATTACACTTTCTATAGTACCATTGTAAAATAAGGAATTATTTTAGTCCAAAAAGGAAAACTTGCAGCTGGATATCCGTGTTACAAGCTTTTATTTACATATGTACATTTCAAGAAGCAGTAAGTTTTCAACAAAATTCACTTTTGCCATTGTCTATAAAACACCAATAGAAGATATTTTGCCTATGCTTATAAGATGTAGTTTACATTTATTTTATATTTTACTATACAATCAGAAATAAACAAGTCTACAGGTTTATCATATTTCTGTGACCTAAATTGCATATTTCCACACTCACCCTGAGCAATTAGGCAGGCTTAGACACAGTGAAAATCAAGGAATCTTTGCACTCAGAAAGAATAATATAGAACAGACAATTACTTTGCAGTGTTTATTTGGAATTAAAGATTTGAAAACTTCAAATTGCCATGGATTTATATTCTGTTTAATATTATTGGTTCTTGAATTTGTATTAAATTGAAAAACTCTTCTTGATTTTCTTGATTAAAGACATGATAGTTTTCAGATGTTCAATTTAGATGTCATAATGTAAATTTTAATACACTATTTACATTACTCGGACTATTGTCCTCATCTTTATTGCCATATTTATCATGTTTTAGCCATTGTTCACTCCGGCCTTCTTCAGGTGGTTGGCATGTTGAACTGAACACTTTATTTCGCTCACTGGGGTAAACTGTTCTAATTTCATGTGCCATGTCTAATGGATGTCAGTTATCTCCTGTTAATTCCCTTCTCCAAGTTCTCCACTACATTAACCAGGTATTGAACTCACACTCTTTGGGTCCTGTCACTGGATCTAACTAACACCTGTGCCATGTGTCCTTGAGGACATCTATATATGAATTTCTGGGTATTATAAACCTAATGTCTTCAGCAATCATTTTTTACCAGTGCTCATATTGCAATTTTTGCTGTTATCATTGCATGCTTTTACCAGAGCTTATATTGCAATTTTCATTGTTATTATTGCTTTTCTCTGGTACTCCTTATTACTGGTTCCCATATTGTACTCATTTCTATGCTTGGTCAGCTCAGGAGATTTTTGTGGCCTAGCATATGTGCTGATTTTTTAAATTTCTAATGATAAAGTATTGTCTATGATTTCAATCCTGATCCCCTTAGGCGGTGATCTCCTTCTCTCCATATGTGTTCAGCCAAAAGGAAAAGGGAGATCACCGCCCTTTGTGGGATCAGGTTGAAATCATAGACAAAGAACATCATTGGAAAATTTCTAGTGTCTATAACAAGAAGACTTTTGCTTAAAGGCATTATTCATTATAACATATAGAATAATTTTACAGAAACATTTTTTGCTTATCTATTATTGAAACTACTTGTGACCATATCATGTTGAAACACCAGTTCTCCTCCAGTCACCAAATTTAAGCAACATCAAGCCTGGTCAGTACCTAGATGGGTGACCACTTGGGAATACAAGGCACTGCAACCTTAGGTGTGCAGGTGGTGTAATAGATAATGGCTCAGAGTGAGAAATTGGAGAGCAAAGTTTGAATTCCAGTTTAGTTTGTTTTATTCACTCAAGTGCAAATACTCTTAGGAAATTCATTTCTTTCCTCCCAGCTATGGGTTAAATAGCAGGAGTTCTATAGCCTTGGTTGTTAACCAGTTTACCACAGAAAGTTATGACAGCTCACTGCATGAATTCTTCTAAGTCAATGATGAATCAAAAAGAAATATGATCAACCAAGCATGTATTACACATAGCAGCTAAGGAAGGAAGGAAGGAAGGATTATTGAAACCATCCCATCAGCAATAGACCTGCAGTCCAATGACATGCTGAAAGATAACTAACTACAAAGAGGGGAAAGTGAACATTTACAAATACTTCCCACATGTAGGATTGATTGATTTTTTTTTATGCATTATCAACCCTTTTTGGGTTATTTAAAGCTGAAACATATTTTTTTGAATTGTAAGAATTTTTGTTTTTGCAAGTGCATATTGCATTAACAGTGTCTTGAGAATAACAATGATTTTTCCAGATACAAGTTCTACTATTTAACCCATAGCATAAGTGAGGGGAGGGATTGATACCATCCCCAAGGGTATATGTACATAAGTGAATGTAACAAACTCGACTGGAATTTGAACTTGGTACTTCGATTTCACATTCCAAACTATTTCTCCATTGCACCACTGGCACATCCACCTCACATAAAGAATCTTCTGCCTTAAAATCTTGTTCAACAATTCATTTCAGCACTTGACACAGTTTTACACAAGAAGCTGTTTCAAGGAAAAGACAGCATGCTAAATCTCCATATAGGGTCAGTCTTAATTCATTGACATTCAGTTTTGATGATGAGAGACAAATTTCAAACCATAGTCTGACTACTTAACTTTTTATCTAAAAGAAACAAAAACAAAATCACTCTCAATCTTTATCTTTAACATCATTGCTAAAAGAATTAGAATTCATGCTTATTTATAATGGAAAATATTTAATGGGTTTTAAAATAAATGATTAAAAGTATATTTTTATATAGACAGCATTTGAAAATGCATATAAATATTTAATATGCATATAAAATAATAAGACAAATATCTGAGACATTTATTTTCCAGTGCTGTCAATTTTTGTAATTGATTGATCTGTTTTTTTTTTTTTGTTTTTTTTGTTTTTTACAGCTTATCAACACTTTCTGGTGAAACAATATATATATATATATATATATATATATATATATATATATATATATATAACAGGGAAGCAAGAAATTGGGAGGGAGTTCCACAGGCACAAAGTCTGAGAAAAGGATCTGTTAGAGTAGAAGTAGCAGTTGCATCTATCTAGTTCAACAGTAAAACAGTGAGACCTAATTGCCAATCTAGTAGCATGCTTAAATTCATGTAGTCAGGGTACTAGAAAAAAGTGCTCATCTGATTAGTTGCCACGAAAATATTTATAGAATAGTACACACACACACTATATATATATATATATATATATATATAATATAAAATGGTCCACTGCACACAAGAATGAATGGTAAAAGTTTGATCAGGATGTGAGTGAGTGATATTTTATGATGGAAGGGTGTAGAATGCTGGTGAGCCGAAGTTATCTGTGATTGGACTATAAATTCCCAAGAGTCGTTGTAGAAAAATGAGGAAAGTTGTAGGTGACAGATGGCACACAAGTCATAATACCCAATCAGTATCAGCTGGGTTAACATGGAGAGAGGGGAGGTATGATATTGAACGACCTGAAACATCACTGATGATGTGTGCCAAAGCATCAACCAGATGTATTTCCCCCAAAATTACTTTTATTTTTTGGCCTCCAAGTCTTTAAAAAAAAAAAAAAAAATACTGTTAATCTGGCCATTTTCCCCAAATTTTGCAGGTTTAAATCTTCAAAATGAGAATGAAATTTAAGGCCAATTAAGATCCAATGCCAAAAATAGATTTTTTGACTGTTATCCTCATCTTTCTTGCCATATACATGACATTTTGGCTGTGGTATGCTCTGGACTACTTCAGGTGATCGGAATTTTGAAGTAAACCCTTTATTTCGTCCACCAGGGTAAATTTTTCTGGTTCCACGTGCCATGCCTCTTCCAGATATCTCAGTAGCAGTTATTTCCCTTTAACTCAAGTTTTTGAACTCTTTGGGTCAAGTCACTGGATTACTTCAACCAACAATTTTATCCTTGAGAATATCAGTATATGAATTTTTGGGACTAATAAACCTAATGTCTCAGTAAGCGTTTTTTACCCAAGCTCATATTGCATCTTTTGTTGTTGTTATTGCTTTTCTTATGCACTCTGTATTACAATTCCTATATTGTATTCATTTCTATGCTTGGCCAGCTTAGGAGATTTTTGTGGCCTAGCATATGCACTAATTCCTTATGTTTTCATATTTTGCAGTGATGTTCTCTATTATTTCAACCTCATCTCACAGGGGGTAGTGATCTAACAGTCTGAACATTGTAAATAGTGTAAATAATTACAATACCTCATCTCAGAAATATAGACAGAGATTTACCCATCTATAATTAAACTGCATCAATATTAATTTAAAAAAAAAAAAAAGGACTTGTCTAAGTGCATATTTTTGTGTGAATTAAAGATTTTTGCTGCTTAATTAATCCTTAAATCAATAAAAAAAAGGAAAATAAAAGTAAGTTTAAAGCATCAATCGATTTGCATGTGAGAAATCTTGCTAAATTGATGAAATTGATTGCATAAGTGATTTTTTTTTATTCCTCCAACATTCATACAATTGATTCATTAACTCTAGAAAATTTTGTTATTGTTTATAAAAAGTTTTTATATTTTAATCTGTTTTACTAATTAAATCAACATTTCTTCATCAAGTCAATATCTTAGTCATCAATTTGTTTGTTTTTTTATTCAAGAAGCATCATTGAAGCCTGCAAATCAAATAATAAACTCAAGATTATATAACAACCCTATTCTGTTAGTAATTAATGGCCTAATTCTTGATCATTAGCAAATCCATTTTTCCTAATTTACAAAGCATATCAAATTCAGAAACTGAAACTTATTAAAACTAATTTTCATGTATAAAAAAAAAAAAATGACACAATCCAGTGCTTAATTTCTTTTATCCAACAAAAATATTTACTATTTTTTCTACTCTATAAGATTCACAGATGTTCTTCGTTGATGTGACTCAATGCAACAAAAGTCAAATGTAGTTTGCTGCAGGAAGATTGGCTGCTGCATGATGATTATTGATACTGGGGTTAGTTGGACAAGAGGACATGATATTGAAAGACCTGAAACTATCAATAATCCCAGTGTTAACAACACTGGTGATGCATCCCAGCTGATCTTTGCAATTTATATTGAGATGCACTAAAAATAAAGACAAAAAATATCCAAAATTTACTTCCTCTTATACACAAATGGTTAGATTGTAATAATAATATCCAGTTACTCATTTCTGAGCACACCCATCTTCAACACCCACATAGCCCACCTGTGGTTTATACTGCAACTATGCTGGGTGGACCTTACAGTTTCTAGAGAACATATAATTTGGCAAGATCGACATTTTGAACAAGGCCAAAACATATAAACTCTCTTGTCATGATGACTTGTGACTTTATGCTAGCATAACAATCAACAGCTTCCAAACAGTTTCATCTACCCAATTTCAATCACAAGGCTTGAGTCAACTCATGGTATAGCTTTCAGGCACTTTAACACAATGGCACATGTTGAGATCGCCTACATCAAGAAGTCAGTCAACTCCCTAACGATTTGGCCTTAGTGAGATTCAAACCTGACTCTCATGGTTGGAAAGCAAACATTCTAAACCAATGATTCCCAATGTAGAATGCATTCCCCACTGGTGGGAAATGGTAATATTTTGGTGGGGCATGCATAAGATGTACACCCATCTGGTTAATTTTACCAACAAAATAAGGTGACAATTCGAGAATGAGTTATTAACAGTGAATTTTTTCCTAGTGAGCTCAAAATTTCATTTTACATTATTATTTTATGATTAAAATGATCAAAGTATATTACAGAATAAACTTTCATTTAAATATCTTATATTTCTGCCTTTCAGTTCTCTATTATATATTTTGAAACTATATATATTTAATTGTCTTTTTGTTTTTTTAAATTTTTCTCTGTCATGGACGCCATGGTCTTTGGAGGCTTGTTTAGAGACCAAGTTAATGGCCTTTTAAGTTTCCTTCATGTGAATTGCAGTAAAATTTTGAATATGTAAGAATTAAATATTATGAGAGGGAGGCACCAGAATTTTAGAAATACCAAAGTGAGGCATGGCACAAAATCAGTTGAGAACCACTGGTCTAAGCACTTGGGCACATGTCCATTAAGAGTTAGGTTACCAACACTCAAACAATGCTGTTTGACACATGACTCCAATGATGACCCCAGAATTAAATATATAATGATTATAAATGATTAAATTATGATTACAAATCAAAATACAGTTAAAATACATTAAAATGATATCTAAGTGTGGATGACTCATCAGTTGAGTATTATTAGTTCATTCCTAAATATTTCTTACTAAATTATCATTATGTGATACACTAGTGAACATTATATAACAGGAAATGATACTTTTTTTTTAGTACTGAAAAACTGATTAGAATTAAAAAGGGAAGACAAAAGAACTTTTCCCCAGATACCAGGTAGAAATACAAAATCAACTTCACTTCCTCTATTGCTAAAATTTGTAGAGGGAATGAAAGTTTAAAAAGAATCTTTATAATAACTTTAATGCATTTTTTTTATAGCAAAACAATTTCCAGTGAATTTCTATACATGCTTTCTACATTTGCTTTGACAATGTATATATGTAATCATTAGAGCAGTGATTGTCAACCTTTTTAAGCAATGGCACACCTAGGAGCAAATGGAAAATATCAAGGCACACTTAGAAAAATTTTTAAAGGATATACATTTAAAAATTGATATAAAACCATAGATTTAAAAAAAATATCCACAAAAATATGAACTTACTTTATTTCAATGTTTCTATTCAGCTATTTGTGCAGCTTATTTAATGGGAAATCTATGCCTTTTTTTTTTTTATTTTGGCGATTTATTCAATATTTCACAGCACTTAAGAGAATCAGGTGGCCCACTAGTATAAGAATAGTTGAAAGTGCTTGGATATACAAAACATTCAGACAATTTTGACACACTTTTTTTGTCAAGAAAAGAAAACACTTATACCAGTATTTCTCAACCTCTTTAAGGAATGGCACAGCTAGGAACAAATAAAAATATTATAATTAAGTAATTCATTGAGTCTAGAAGAAACCTCAACAGAATGCAGAAAGCACTGGACAGCCGTTTTGTCCTATATTTGGCACTCATCAGCATAAAAATATCATGGCACAAAGGCCATATATTTAAATGTTATGACATAAAACCATAGAATTAAAAAAAATATCCACACAAATATGAACTTCATTTATTTGAATGTTTCTATTCAACTATTTGTGCACCTTATTTAATGTGAAACCTGTGCCTGGTGTTTTTTTTTGCGATTTCTTCAATGCTTGGTCGAATATGTGATAAGCAGGCCATCATTTCCTATTAATGAATATTAAAACAAAGTATTTAAAATAATATAATCAAAAAAATAGCGAAAAGAATTATTTGAAAAAAAAAAAAAAAAAAAAAAGTTTAATATTTATTTATTCAAATACTAATGCTGTACCATTACTCCTTCCACACACACACACACACACACACACACACACAATGATAAAACAGGTTACCTAAATGGTTAGTAAGTAATTTTCAATGTCTTCCTATTTTAAAATAAATCTCCAAATGAATTTTGAGAGATGCTTTTAGTGTTTGCTACGTCAAAGTATTGGTAATTATTAGAGTGAAAAAAAGTCAGTTCAAATTATAAAAGACTACTTACTTTTTGTCATAATCGATTTATATATTAAAGTAAACTGAATTTCTATATACCATAATTTCCCATGTATATTACGCCTTCATCCATAATACTCACCCCTAAAATTGTGCTGAAAGTGTGGGAAAATGCTTCTACTCATGCATAATATGCACTCCTTGTTTGGTAAATAAACCCTATAATTTGCTATGACTGTATACATGTAAACATCAAAGTGAGTAAATTTTTTTACAGATTTGTTTAATAAATCCTATCGGTGATAAAACAATTTACCTAAATGTCCAGTAAATAATTTCAAATGCATTCATATCATAAAAAATAATTTCCATGAATTTCTATAGATGCTTTTAGTATTAGATATGAAATCATCAGAGTGAAATAAAGTTTTATAGATTTAGTTTCATAAACACTTTGTTACTAATATGGTTTCTCACTAATTTTACCCACTTACACTTTGATTAAAATTATTTGAAATGGAGGAATAAAATAAATTAATTACATGTATGCAGGCATTCTGTGATGGTGGTGGCATCAATGAGGTAGCCCGAACACAGTGTACACGTAATGTGATCATTGACCGACCTCAGACGAATTCTCCGCTCCATCATGGTGTCAGAAACGCAGACATCCTCTTCTGAAAATAAAATAAAATAAATGAATAAATAAATATATTGAAAGCAAAGTGTTTTTTTTTTCTCTACACATTCATATGTTATCCAAATAAACACATGCTTTCTTCTCTCTCCCATCAGCTGTCGTTCTAAGTAGCTATACAACAAAGAGGAGATATCAGTAAAAGAATAAAAAATCATCAGAAGGCCATATCTAATAAATTCAGACTGTATATTATTTAAATGGATTAGCTTGTTATTTACACTATTTACATTCAGACTATTGTCCTCATCTTTGTTGTCGTCACATTTCGGTCATTATATCTTCCAGCCTTCATCAGGTGTATATCAATATATCACCTATATGAAATTCCAAACTGAACCCTTTATTTAATCTATGGGGATAAACTGGTCTTGTTTCACTGCCCATGTCTAGGGATATCATCTAGTTCTTATTTTTAGTACTGTTCAGTTATTGCTCGCTCTGTTTCCACTTAGTCCAAGTACACACTGCCCAGCCCAAAGATTGAACTCACAATTACTAGCTTGTTGACTATTCCAAGCACTGTTAGTACATATTTACTGAGAGACATGTCTACATATCTTTAAGGCAAATACAATTAAAAATGACAGACATTTTGTGTCAATTAATTTTAATGATTGACTTTTCTAAATTATGAATAATCCTTCTCCAACAAGGAAGAAATTCCATCAGAAATTGTCCTAAGTTCATTTTGGAAGAAAAGTACAAGAAATATGGTCTGAGCTTTCAACCTTCTTAAGTCATCATCAGGATAAATAGAGACAATTGGTGAGTTTCATAGAACTAATGAGTGTTGTGACATAAGCAAGGTGCAATGTGTTTTTTTTATATACATTTGAGGATGTAGACTCTTAAGGTATAATGCATTTTACTTATTGATGGTAGTTTTTGTTGAATGAGTATTGTTTTAAGGATCATAAGTCTGCCCTTACTATTTTCATTTTGCTAGTATTTTGGTATTGTTTGTGAGTAGCTGTCTAATGTTAATATGATGTTTATGATGCATTGTCCAATGGCACTATGGTTCAATCGGTGGCAAGTGAGTAGCCATGAAAGTGTGGTTGTGGTATATCCTATTTAAGATGTTTTGTGTGTTTTTACAGAGAAACATTCTTCAAGAGAGCAAGTATATTCATACACAACATTGGTCTTATGTAGGAGATTCCTGATGAGGGAAGAAAAACAGGCATTTATTACTATTGGTGCCAACCAAATTTCACATCTTCACACTTATGAGTGAACATCATCAAAAACAGCAGACTGCAGAGATTTTAAGAAACTAATTCCTCAATAGGTAAGTATTGTTGCCTATCATGTAAGAGTCCAAGTATTAATTTGCAGCTTGAGAGATCTAATCGTGTGTGTTTTATATTAAATTTCACACAATACACGGCTCAAAAGTAGCTCAAGGTAGAGGGTCACTGTTAAAATGGTTATGAGGTGTGATATGAGTGAAAGCAAAAGTAGTAGGAAGTGAAGATTATGAGGATAAGGAGGATAGATTGACTTATGACTTGAAGAGGTTAAGATTATAGTGTTCAAGGATATTATTAACTAACTTAAAAGCTGCCCTATCAGCATTTAAGCTAGGTCCTGCAGTGGGCTCTTGATTGGGCTTTTGGCCTGTTCAGGAGTTTGAGAGTCCATAAGTCTTTGCATGTTTTTAGCATTGGAAGCTCTCTTGCCTGACGTTTCATTTGGGTTTTCATTTGCACGGGGCATTCTTTTCCACACTGTAGACTTGGCTCTTTTGAAATATATAAATAAACATTGATTATTATTATATGATTTTATTATAATATTATAACTAGTTTACCTGTGTTGTCAAAAACTGACGGTCTTGATATCTTATAAGCATAATGCAATTACAAAATTAATATCAATTTATCTGGAAGGTAAAAATAATTTCAGGCATAAATAAATTATGGAGTTTGGTGTATCAAGCTTCAAATAAGAGAAAAATTCTATTTCTACTACATCAATATAATGGTCCCATATGTAGAGATGGGCCATCTGTTAATCACTGTGTGATGATCTCTTCTGGTGAAATTACACATACAATATTTATATATGAAGATAGTAATAATAAGACGTGAGAGGTTTTAAAGTCTGTCTATATTTCTGAGATGAGGTATTATGTACATTTACATTATTCAGACTATTGTCCTCATATTTTTTGCCATATCTATCACAGCGTTTCGGCCATTGTACATTTCGGCCGTTGTACGCTCTGGCTTTCTTCAGCTGGTTGGAATGTCGAACTGAATCCTTTATTTCGCTCACTGGGGTAGACTGTTCTAGTTCCATGTGCCATGTTTGATGGATGTCAGTTATGAGCTATCTCCTGTTAATTTCCCTCTGAAAGTTCTCCACTGCCTTAACCGGGTATCGAACTCACACTCTTTGAATCCTGTCACTGGATCTAACCAATGCCTTTATCCCTTGTGCCATGTGTCCTTGTGGTTTTAAATCGGTGTTTCATAACTGGTGTTCCCTGGAACCCTAAGGTTATGTGAAAAACAGTAATAGGTCAGGCAGTGTGTACTTGAACTCAGTGTGAACAGGCAAGCAATAACTGAGCAATATTAGAAATAAGACCTAGACGATACACACAGCTAGTGGAATGGAAACAGTCTACTCCCATAGATTAAATAATGGGTTCAGTTCAAAATACACCTGATGAAGGCTGGAAGGTACAAGGGCTGAAACACTGTGATAACTACAATAAAGAGGAGGGACAATAGTCTGTCTTTAAATAGTGATAAACAAGCTAATGGATTTTTGAGTAATTTTTGTTTAATTTATATTCGTAATTTTACTATATGTATAGGACATATTGTTGGAAAATCCTTGGTTTGGTTTGTTTTACAGCATATCAACATCAATGGGTTATTTAATGCCAACAAGATTTTTATTGCTGGTAATATTTTTTCTTCAAAAATGTATTTCTGCTAATATTTTTTCTTTCAAAAAATATATTGCTGGTAATATTTTTTTTCCAAAAATGTATTGCTGGTAATAATTTTTTCAAAAATTCATTGCTTGTATTAAAAACCTATATTTACACTTACATAGTGTTTTGACCCCAGTTTGGGGGTTAACTATTTGCCCATAGATGGACCCAAACAGGTGCTACGACCCCGGGTCATGGTGGACCTGGGAACACGAGCAATTAAGAGGTGGTTTCATGCTCCTCAAAACATCATGGTCAGAGGCCTTGCTGCTGGATGTAGTTTATCTTAATACCCAGGACACAAATGCAGTTTGTCTTACCCAGGATGCCTCATTCTGAAGCCCCAGCCAACAGGGCATGAAAATCTTTGGTTATTATAATAAAAGCTTCAACCTCTTATATTATTTAAAATTATAATAATCATAGAAAATGTACTTAGCAATGTCTATATGGTCTTAGTGTGGAGCAACCTTCACTGGTTAGTAGAGGTATCTGTATGTGACAGATTCATGTATATTATGTTTACCACATGAACTACAATAAAAATATAAAAGAGATAAGATATTAATAATGTTATATGATAATTTTTATTCCAGGGGTTCTCTCAGATGTGAACACTATTTCAAGTTTACCCCAAGGGTAAAAAGGTTGATAAATACTGTTTTAAGCAGTAGACATTTGAGATTAAAACTTCTTCTTGAGAACAAGAGCAATAATGATTTCAAAACTCTGACTGAAATTCTTTAAGACAGAAAGAGAAGTATATTTGAATAAATACTATAATTCAATATTTTGTTGTCTTTATCTACATAAATATATCAATAGGTCTGTAGCATAATGATGGGGAAAAAAAAGCAACAAAAAAAATTTATTTTATACAATTTCATTCCTTGTCAAAGCACTTAACCCAATCCATTTCCATAAAGCACACACACACAATAAATAATATATAATGAAAATTTCAGATCAAAATTCAGCTTATAACTGTGTAAGACTATGGTCATATTGTTCTACACTTGTATACAACACCATATTATCCTTTTCATTATTGGTCCTTTTCAAGGTTGCCAATGAGTGTAAAAGCTTTTTTGTTGGTACTATCAAAGTGAGTGCTCACTAACTCATTCACTAAAGGATTCATTCTTACAGTAATTTTAGCAATTTCAGCACACAATTCAACCTTGACCTCTTCAAACCAAGAGTCAATTGTCAGCCTTCACCTTTATCCTCACAATTTTCTTCTTTTTTTTTTTTTAAACCAGTATTACCATTTTGTTCACTGTAATCGTAATGAGATGAAAAAATCCCCCCCCCAAATTTGTCAAAATATACCATATATCGGTATAGGAAATTTGAGTGCCTTTTGCAGTGAAAAAAAGATATTGATTTAGAAATTATTGCAATAATTGTCAAAATTTAATGAGATTTACATGACTTATTCAGAAATGAATGAAATTATTTTTGAAATGTTTCTTTTTTTTTTTCTTTTTAGAAAATCTTGGTAAAAATATATTTTTGTTCTTTTTTTTGTTTTTCTTTACATCTGTTATCATTTACTAATTTAATTTTAAGAAATTCGTTTTTGTAGCACTTCAGTCAGTCAGCTATATGCCATGCGTGATACACACTTAGGCGATCATGTATATTTCGATACATGAGTGACAAGACAGATATTTTCCCACAGTCAGTTGCCATTTCTTTCTGCAGCAGATCACTTGCCATCCAAGGCTATAGAACGCAGTCTGTCCTGCTATTTACCCACAGCTAGGGGGAAAAGAGGATTCATATATTTCCCAAGGGTACTAGCATGCAAGTGAATGTAATGGATTCAACTTGAATTCAAACTTGGTTCTCCGATTACTCAATCCGAGCCACTATCCATTACTCCACCGTATCAGAGAATTTACACCTATGTATTTGAATTTTTAAGGAAAGGGTAACAAATTACCTAATCAGATAAAAAAAATCACTATCTGTTCATGTGATCTGATAAGATAATGTATTCCCCTTTATTCAAAAAATTTCAA